GGAACACAGAGAAGGGAAGGATGAACTGCACCAGGAATAAAATAAAGTTGCAATAGAATAGGCAATATTTAAATCATGTCTCAAGCACAGAACCATGCACTGCCTACCAAAATATACTAAGCCATGGACCAAGCATAAAAACCTGGATGTATGGAAATACTGGATATGTTGGAGAATGAAAATGCTTAGCTGTGACTAGAGCACAGAGTGTCTGAAGACTATGTAGGAATTGCTGAAACTGTAAAAGATCGGTTTAGGCTCAGCAATAAATGATGTTTTATGAAATTTTAGTTAATCCACAAGCTATGAGGACACACTGAAAATTGTAAATAGAAAATGTGGGGCTGGGTGTGGTGGCTCATGCCTGTAATCCCAGTGCTTTGGGAGGGTCACTTCAGGCCAGGATCAAGACCAGCAACATAGCAAGACCCCATCTCTACAAAAACTAAAAATAAAAAAATCAAAGAAATTAATTGGTCGTAGTGGCACACACCTCTAGTAGTTAGTCTTAGCTACCCAGGAGGCTGAGGTGGGACGATGGCTTGAGTCCAGAAATTCAAGGTTGCAGTGAGCTGTAATTGCACCACTGCACTCCAGCCTAGGTGACAGAGGGAGACCCTGTTTCCAGAAAAAGAAAGGAAAATTTGGATTATACAAAATTTGCTTTCAATAGACCAATCTGACAGTAACAGTTTGAAGAGCAGAGAAAATGGAAGCACAAATGCAAGTTCTGAGTATCCTTTAATGCAGGAAAAAAGTGAAGAGGGACTAGATTTTAAAATGGAGGTAGTGATAAAAGTGGTCTTATTTGAAATAGAGTTAAGATATATAATCAACAGGATTTAGCAATTGATGAAGATTCAGTTAGAAGGAATAAGATCTCTTGTACAGCATGGTGACTGTAGTTAGTAAGAATGTGCTGTAAACTTAAAAATTGTTAACAGAGTAGATTCTAAGTGTTTTCACCACAAAAATGCTAATTATGTGAGGTAATGCATATGTTAAATAAGCTTGATTTAACCATTACATGATGTATACATATTTCACAACATTATGTTGCACACCATAAATGTATATAATTTTGTGTCAATTAAAAATAATATAAATAAAAGCAATTGATGAAAAGAGACAAATGAGGGAACTGGAGGTATCAGCATGATACGTAAATGTATGAGAGTTGTAGCTTGAGTCCAAGTAGAAATTGAATGGATTAATTGAGATGGTGACATGGATGATTAGGAGGAACACATGGATTTTATTTTGGGTGTAAAGGCTGTGTGGCCTTCCAATAGGTAGATATAAGCATGTTGAGATGTTGCTGTTTAATAGGTGGATGGAGACCTGCATCTGGGGTTTAGGGGAAATATGAAGATCTGGGATTCCTTAGTGGAGCAGAGGTTGGTAAAGTCTTAGGAGGAATGAAGTCCACTCGGGAGAGCTTCTGTCAGGAAAAGAGAGCCAAAATAAAATACCAGATAATATAGAACTTAGGTCTGTAACTCACTGACCAGAGTCTCTGATTGAATTCAAGAGGAAAAAGAGAAATGTATGCATTAGAGTCAATATGACCTGGTATTGAATTAATCATAAGGGTGGATATATAGGACAGTAGAAAATGAAAATTCCCTACTTCGTGCCTAGTAGTATGCTAAGCTTAGGAAGAAAGAATAGATATGAATATCAATTATTAATAGAAATATAAACTGCATACAATTACATATATATTAGACTGTATACTAATTAGACATTGCTATTGTTAATGATGCTCTTGTTGCCAATAATTTTTTCAACAGTTATGACAGTGGTTAACATTTACCAAATGCTACCTGCTGTGCCTCTGCCTTCAAGGCAAACTCAATCTACTTTAGCCTCTGTTGAGGTCAAGCTGAGAGCTAATAGGAGAAAGGTTACCTCCTCCTCTCCAAATACTTTCTAGTTGGAGTTGTTTTTGAATTCTCTACATTTATCTAATAACAAGCTCTAAGTGTAGTAAGGATCACACCCTGTCTATCTTTGATGCTGTGTATGTTTATATTCTCCTAGAAGCAATTATCAAGTGAGATTAGAAGTACAAGAGTTGTTAGAAAAAAAATCTGTGAAAAGCAGAAGTTGAGGGATAAGCCAGAGACAGCAAAGAGAGCCTTCAGACTGTGATGGAGGTCTGCCCCCCTCCGTGCACAAGAGGGAGAAAGAAGGAAGACTGGGTGGAAACACTTCAGACTAGGTTAGGTAGTCTCGTTGGGGTAGTGGGATTGTAAAGGAAGCATGAATCTAAGAAGGATTTGGTCAGGCTCATGGAGAATCTTTAAACCAAAATTGCCAGTTGGAGGTATCCCATGTTTCAGAAGATTAGGCTCACCTTAGTACCCCCACCATGCTTAGTCATTAGCTAGGAGGAGCCTGTAGAAGTGTGGCCTCAGCATGGATACAGTACTGGATCCAGAGGAGCAGCAGCCGGGGCCATCTGTCTGTAAACATCTCTGCAGTGGGAGATTTGAGTGACATGTGTCATTGCCACCACAGATTCCCTCAGTGACACAGTGACACTTCTTCCTAAGCGTTCTCCTAGCATGTATTGTCCAAACCAGTCAAATAAAGCTCAGCCTGTGCAACTTTGTACCATTATTAATCAATTTGCTTGTGTCTACCCCATTAGATTATAAACCTTTCTTCAAACATTAGTGTCTATCACCACGCCCTTAACTCAGAAGGCATTTACATAAATACATTCATCATAATTAGGATTATTTTATTTTCATTATTTGAATTTATCTGAGAGCAGGCTGGGCACAGTGGCTCATGCCTGTAATCTCAGCACGTCGGGAGGCTGACGTGGATGGATCACCTGAGGTCAGGAATTCGAGACTAGCCTGGCCAACATGGTGAAATGCAATCTGTACTAAAAATACAAAAATTAACTTGGTGTGGTGGCATGTGCCTATAGTCCCACCTGAGGCTGAGACAGGAGAATTGCTTGAACCTGGAAGGAGGAGGTTGCAGTGAGCCAAGATTGCGCCACTGCACTCCAGCCTGGGTGACAGAGTGAGACTTCATCTAAAATAATAATAATTATTATTATTATTATCTGAGAACAGTAAACAATTGGAGTTTTAACTCAGGAAGTTGGGTGGGGGAAGTTAAGAGAGAATATGGTTTTGATAAGGGGTTCCATGGATATCACAGTGAGCTCTGGGGGAAAGAGAACTAGGGGATGTGAATTAGACATACCCTTGGAGGAAAGCAGAAGTCCAAGTAGGTCCTTGGAGGTGAAGTCCAAGTAGGTGGACAGAATGCAGTATCCAGAGAACAGGCTGGAAAGAGCTAGTCTAGACCAAGAATTGGCTGAAGGGAGTCCAGCAAGATATGATGGACAGGCGTTTGACATCGGCATCTGAGCACAGCAACTCTGTTTGAGAACTGCCTTCTCTACCCACAGTGACATTTTCATGTACATGACATACCTTCTTAACCTTGGCTCATTGGACTGGGGGAGATGCCTTATCTCAACCTAAACCTCCTGGGAATTTGGAATTGAGGTTTGGAAAATCTTATCAGTTGAACTGTTTCCTTGAACTGAGCTGACACATTCAAGATAAGCTTCTTGAAGACAATTGGGGAAATCATGTATGCTCAGAATCAGGAACACTGGCTGGCAGAAAGGCATACACAGAGAAACTGAGATGAGAGACAGTGTGACTCCAGGGAAAGAGGGAGAATGAAATGGCGTCAGTTGTTGCCTGGACTCCTGAGGACTTTCCATTCATGGGCCTAATCCCCAAGCTCCCTGCCCTTCAATTCTGAGGAAACTAACTCTAGAATAAACTTACTATTTTGGTTAACATAGTTCAAGTGTGTTTCTTATAGTAGCAGCCAACTGACAGTGACTGAGAAACTGTTCTGACAGAAATGCCCAGGACACAAATCGGAAATTCAGCAATGTGAAATGTGCTGAGACGCAGGCAAGCAAGAGGTCAGCATTAGAAAGCTACTGGGAAGAGAGCCCCGGGAAAGGTGGCCCCAACAAGGCAGTTCTTGGTCTGTTAAGACCCTGGTAACTAAAAAGAATTGTCAAGTCAAGGACTTCATATACAGGCTCCGGTTTTAGGAACTAGGTACAGGATAGATCCTTCATCATAGGAACAAGCCAGAAGTTGGTTATTAGAAGTCAGGCAAAAGGTTAATAGCAGACTAGGACATTCTGATCTATTGAAGCTGAGAGTTTCTTGAAAATGTGATGCCTTTATGCATTAAATAAGAATGATTGGGTATCTCCTACATTCTAGGGAGTTTAGCATGTTAGCCTGAGTTGGGGTTCAGTGTACCATGGAGTGGGGCCTGCCTGGGGATGGAGACCCAGTGGAAGTTGCAGTGGAGAATAGGAGGCTGAGAGGACAGCCATCATGTGCACAGCTGGTCAGCTCATGAAGTGGAATGGATGATGCATTGTTAGAGTTTGGAACATTCTGTGGTAAAACAGACCCAGAAGAAGTTGAATCTGAAAACTCAGAAAACATCATCATGGTAATTTCTTTCAAGGTGCAATGAAGAGGAGGTAGGACATGAGAAAAAAGTTATTCGGAAAGAGAGATAAGGTATTAAACACACAGTTCATCTACTTGTCAGATTCTCCAGATACTCATGAAAAACAATTCTTTTGCATCCTTTGGCTGGATGAACTGTTTCATCACACATCTGCTCTACTTCACCAATGCCAGAGTTAAAATTCAGGAGGAAGTTGGAAGTTCTTATCTCATCCAACTCTATCCAGTCTCACCAAATAGGCAAGAACTAGTCTCTTCTAATTAATTCCACTCAACGTCTTCTGATTTAACATTGAACCCTGGGCTACTGGGAAAAAGAAGTATAGTAAGAAAAGAGGAAAAGGGGGTAGAAAGAAGGATGAAAACGAAGAGATGTCTCATAATCTTCTGTTCACACTGGGGTAAAAGTAGGTCAAACACCTACTCTCCTGTAACCTCCTTCTCTACCTCACTCTTTCTATTTTGAATATCTTGTAATCATAGATATTACTTTTCATAGAGACCCCAAAAGCATTTCCCCAGGGAATGTCAGGGACTCCCTGTATAACCTGTTAATTAAGCTTGACAAGACATAATAAAAGCAAACTTCACAATGACAAATTAGTAGACACACTGTTAGCTCCAGTTTCTTTTTCTCTTAATCTTATTTCTCATGCTGTTGTTCATAGTATTAAACAGAGTCAGAAATTTCTGCTTGGCTTCTGACTGGCCTTAAAAGGAACACATTATTTAACCTCCCTAAATCTCCATTTCCTCTTTTGTGAAATGGAATAATAATACTTGCTGTAATACCTTACTGGGTGATTTTGAGGACCATGTATAAAAATCACAACCAATGGTACAAATACCAATGTAAGATAGCCAGGTCCTTTAATAAATCAGCAGAGTAGAGCAAAGCATCTGTAACAGAACTTTGTTCCCATTGCCAGCGCTTGGGCAACTCACTTGTGTTCTAAGTCTTGGTGCTTCTTTACTTGTAAAAAGGGTAGGATGCTATTTGTAGTTTCATATGGTTTTAATGAAGATCAAAATAACATTTATACTAAAGTATAAGTAGTATATTAATTATCACAAGTCCTAGTAATGTGTCAGAACAGGAGGCTCTCAAGGTCAAACGTGTGCAGATTTATTTTTTCTCATTTATAAAAGTATTAATATGATTTTAAATTAGTATGTGTATATCTGATGCTTTAAAAAAATATTTGCATGGAGAATCTGTTGTGAATTCTGTAGCAGAGTTAAATTTAAATAAGACAGTAATTAAAAAAAATAAAACATGGAGCTTAATTACACACCAAAAATAAATGAGTACTTCCTTACATATCTTTTGTATGTTTTATTTTTTTAATTAAAACTTTTAGAAAACAAAAACTGTTGTCTATTTTTGTTCATAATTTTTCAATATGAGAAAAATATGGTTTACATACATAGGGACAAGGCTGTAATCAAAGGATCTAGGAAATTGATTATGGCTCCGTTTTACATTGAGATTATTACCATTCAAAAGAGTTCCATTTTACCTTTTTAAAATAAAAATATTTTACATTTATACTGGTTAAACTCTAATATTCCTTAATCTTTTATTTTCTTTCAAGATAATAGTTGGAGAAACTGCTGTCTTTTGCCTACAACTAGCCACAAGGGATTTTGAAAACCAGGAAAAAACTATTTTAACTGGAGACTGTTGCTATATAAACCCGCTGGTGCGCCGAACTGTCCGATTTCTTGGTATGTGTTCATTAAATTATTTTCAATATTTCTGAAACAGTGTCTGTGTATAAGCTAACCCTTAAAAATGACTCACATTGTAACTGTTTGCAAATATTGTATTTTTTTTTCTTTGAAATGTTTTAATTTGCTTTTAAAAGTAAACATTACACACTGCTTGGGTGATGGTTGTATCAAAATCTCAGACATCACCACTAAAGAACTTACTCATGTAACCAAACACCACCTGTTCCCCTAAAATCTACTGAAATAAAAAATAAACGAAAAATTTTTAAAATAAACATTGCATACTACTTTCTCTGTAATATAGCAAGATCCCACTTTAGGGTGTCATTTCCACATTCCTTTAAGGCAAAAAGAACACCACCTTTGGATGTTTAATATTCTTTAAGAACCAAAAATTACATGATTACTGTGTTTATGAAAATCTTTGGACCGTACTTAGTGGGAGGGTGGTGATAATCCAGGTGGGTTGTTGAACATCACAAAGGATGGAAAAATAACTTGGCAAATAGAAGAAATGTAGCACTCCATGTGCTACTTCTAGGTTGATTTTTATATAAACAAAAACGTATTGAGGATTTTAGTAGAGGACAAGATTCACTAATAATTTAACTTTTAATCTGAAATACTAGCAATAATAAATATATACATGTATGAATTATTGAAAACCATTTTAATTCAGTAGGAACTTAGCCTAGACACATTTTTTTTAACTGACACAATACCATGTAATATAAATAATTGTTTCCTGGATTTGTCAGATAAAAATAAGTATATCTGTATCTACTAAATGCCATTTAAGATAATTTTTTATTAGTATTAAGAGATGCACTGAAGGTAATGCAACTCTTTAACATAGTTCTCATACTGAAGGGAACTCTTCAACATAGTTCTCATATTGAAGGGATCAAGATGAAGACTTTGAAGATATTATGCATAGATCACCTAATCTATCTATAAACCCATTAAAGACTAGCCAAATGTCATCAGGCTTTTGGATCTCTCTGAAGATGAAAGGCCTTCATATCCGAGACTGTTATTTTTACTGACATCAAGTTTTGTATCTCCAAAGCCCTCATTTATCCCGTTAGAGGGACAACTTTTATATGAAACCCTAAAAGTTATTTTCTTCACATGTATCAATACTGTGTTCTTGACTAATTTCTTTTTGTATAAGTCATTTAATTTTTTAAAAAAGCAATATACAACAATATCTCAGAATTAAAAGTATTTAAAGAAATCGCTGCTTTCCTAAATACTGTTAAGCAAATTACATTGTGCCTATTTAAGTAAAATATTTTTCTGCATTTGCACACATATTTCTAAAGAATATTTGGCTTACAGTATGCTTTTAAGTCTCTGCATGCTTCTTATTATGTGATTTTATAAAATACGAAAGCCTTATTTGTTTCTTGTTCCCTTATGATTTGGATGTTTCTAGCTATAATAAAGTGGAAGCATGTAAGCAAAGCCTCTCTGTATAATAGTACATCATTCTGTGTAGTGACTTTATTCTTTAGGTCAGTGGAGTAGATACACTCAAAGGATCTCACTTTAATAATTGTCTTTATAGTCAACTACAGTATTAGCCTTGGGCCTGGTGCACTGACATTTTAATTCGAAAACATATTTGGGAACTTTAGAGTGTCAAGAGACATTTCCACATTCTTATCAAATATTTCTGTTACCAACAGGAAAACCCATTGCACCAAACAGCCTAGATTTCAAATGTGTACAAATGAAGACTTGTAATTTAGGTTCCCATGTTTGGCCATGAGATTTTGGAAGGAGAAGTTTTGTTGAGCTCGGTTCTCTTTAATTTCTCTGCCTCTCTCAAATTTCTGATTTTGATAACCTTTACTTTGTATGATTCATAGAAGGCTGGTGAGATGTTAAAAAAAGGGCTTCTTATTGTTTTCTTTTAGAATTTTTAGATAAAGAGAGAACTAATATCTTTGTTTCATTTCCATTTGTATATACATAGAGTTTTGCTGTGTGGGGGTTTTTGTATGTAAACCTTTTGTAATCTTATATAATATTTTAAAAATTTAAAAGAACAGCTATCCATCTAATACTGGAAAATTATTTGATCTAGTACAACTTTTATGGTGATATACTATACAACAGCTAATAATGATGAAAAGGCTTGGGAAACAAACAATCCAGAAATATATGACTAAAAAGAAAAACATCTAATTATTATAACATAAGTATATGACATTTTAATAAATCAATACTTTTAGAAGTATTAATTTGGGATAGTTTTAAAAGGTCCTGTTGGATTTTATTCCCAAAATTATAAAAGGATGAATTTCTTTTCATTGGTACCACAGGCTTAAAGATTGTAGCTGTAAGTTTAATTTAAATTAATGCCAAAAATTGTTTTGCCTGTATAATAGAAAAATAAGTTTTAACAATAATGACCAATGACTTTGAATTTAGAAAATGTTTTTAGTATTCAAGTAAATTGGGAAGTTCCTTAGCAAAGGAGGAAAAAATATCTACACACTTAGTTCTATACCTTCAGATAACCAAAGTAAATAAATTTTAAAACTGTAAAAATAATTAATAGCCTATAATTTTGATTGCCTTATTTACTAAATAGCCCACATTGGATCAGTTGAAAGTCAATCCATAAAAGATAAGGTAGAAATAAATTACTAGCTGTTCTATGACTTTAACAAAATGTGTTTCTGAAGGCAATGTAGAGACTGCTCTGAAAGCATTCTGCTTTACTTAAGATTTTCCATATTTAAATGAAAACCGATGGCGCTGGATTTACTGCTAATTGGCACCTCCAGCAGCGTTAACATCAGTCTCAATGGGAGTAAGAGCATAATCAAAGAGACAACTGCTTTGCTTTATGTTAGTGCGATTAAAAAAAAATTCAAAAATAGGGGAAAAAATAAAATTGCTGACATTAGTAGAGCATGATAGACTATACCCTCTCAAGGAACACATGACTCCATGAAACAATTGCATTACTCAGACTCTGAGAATACATGTTCTTATTTTATCTTATGTCTTATAAACCTGCCATCCACAAAAACCATGTAGTAGTAGCGCAATTACCACTTTCACCACTCCAGAAAGCCAAGGAAAGAACTGGAGAGGAATGAAATGAAAGGAACTATGTATACGTACAGAATATTTATAGTTTCTAAGATATTTCCATTTTGGTTTATTATAAACTGAAATTCACACACACACACTCACACACACACACACACAAAGCAAGAAGTTAAAATTATTTGTTTTCTTCCCCAGGAATTTATACATTTGGACTGTTTGCTACAGATATCTTTGTAAATGCTGGACAAGTAGTCACAGGAAATCTGGCCCCACATTTCCTTGCCCTGTGTAAGCCCAATTATACAGCACTTGGATGTCAACAGTATACACAGTTCATCAGTGGGGAAGAGGCCTGTACTGGCAACCCAGATCTCATCATGAGAGCACGGAAAACCTTTCCATCCAAAGAAGCAGCTCTCAGTGTCTATGCAGCTATGTATCTGACCGTAAGTAAGGATTATACATTTGTTGTCTTAGTCTGTATTACTGTTAATTTTTCTAGTGTAGAAATTCTTTTTCCCTGCCATAATGAAAGTCACTTAAAGCACATTCATATCTTTCTGTAGGCCATTTAATCTATTTTTAATAATAGCTGTTGGTATTCTGAACAAAATTAAGACAGTTGTCTCTCATGAGATTATGTGTGGGTAGTTGGTTGTATTAAAAAATGTAGCCATTAGCATTTCTATTTGAGAATATGTTTGTCTTTATATTAAATAGGACTTAGTGGAAACAAATTTGTTCTGTAGCATTCCCCATGAACTTGTAATAGCATGATTAAGAGAACTACCTAGGCCTCTTAGCTGCCTATCCAAGCTCTCATAGTCCCTGCTGGGGGTGAAAGGGCCCCCTTTTTTTTTCTAGAAAGCACTATTGTTACTGGCAACTGTATCATCATCCTATCTCAATTAGCATTTAATGTTTTCTCATAGAACTAACCAAAGAGTCCTTAGAAATTCTATTTTTTTCCTTTAATCTTAAGTATTGGCCATCATCTTTGTGGCAAGAGCCAGGCCCCCATGCAGCTATCCTAGGACCTTTAGTTAGAAGTGAGTGAGTGCATTACCCATATACAGAAGGAGAAAGAAAGGCAGCCTTGGCAGGCAGCTCTTGTCCCCAGCAATGGTACTATCAACCTCTCCCTCCTCACAAGGATGTGCCTTGCAGCTCAGGAGGTGGACTCCAAAAGTGTTCCCTGTAGGCTTTTCCACAAACCTCTATAAGATCAGAATTTTTTTTTTTTTTTTTTTTTTTGCCAGAGTCTCGCTCTGTTGCCCAAGCTGGAGTGCAGTGGCGCGATCTCCGCTCACTGCAAGCTCCGCCTCCCGGGTTCACGCCATTCTCCTGCCTCAGCCTCCCGAGTAGCTGGGACTACAGGCGCCCGCCACTGCGCCTGGCTAATTTTTGTATTTTTAGTAGAGACGGGGTTTCACTGTGTTATCCAGGATGGTCTCAAACTTTAGACCTCAAGTGATCCACCCACGTTGGCCTCCCAAAGTGCTGGGATTACAGGCGTTAGCTGCTGCACCCGGCCAGACCAGAGAATTTAAATGTCTTCTGGGGTTCTCCTTCCCAGTGGTGCTAAATCTACTTCCTTCCAATTTCAGCTCATTAACTAGAGATCTGTAAAGTCTCAGGACCAATTTGAAACCAAATTTGATTATTTCTAATGATTTGGAAAAACTTGGAATTATTTTTCTTCGCTCAGAGAGCTATTTGATAATGGAAATGTTTTCCATACAATCTTGTTATTTCTAAAGGCAGAGAGAATATATGGAATACCATGTGACATCGCTACTTGAGATTCAAATAAAGATTACTAAATAGAAGGACAATTTAGGAAGAGAAATGTAACGTTATGCATAACATTTAGAATGACAGGATAACTTTAGAACCATAGATTATACATTTTAACATTTTTAAAGTTTTTAAGCCAAGTTAATTCTGTCCCTCACTGCCTGGACATTTTAAAACTCCCATCCTGAAACTTTTTATGGAGTCAAGGATTCTTTCCTTAATCCTATCCTATTTATTTTCTCTTCTACCACTTCCTAACTTTTCTAAAGTTTGTCCGTTACAACTCTCTCCTTGCCATCCCACTGTGCCCCCAAGGTCTGTTATTCTAATTTCCCCTGTTTCCTTTAGCCCATTAGCCTTGCTTTTTCTTGCACATTCTAAGGTACCTCTGGGCCTGATATGAAGTATGGTAACCCATGCATATTCTTTCCTATTAAAGAAATTGCTTGACTCTATGTTTCACCTCTACTAGAATATGAAGCCCTCAGCCTTAAAACAGGGATTGAAGCTTGAGTGAATCAGAAGTCACAAAATCCTTTTCACTCATTGCCATCACATCTGAATTTGATGTTTATGTTTGTATCTGGGTGTGAATTGCAGATATATCTGTGATAAATACATGGCCAAGTCAATGATGGGAGACAAATTCGAGAATACTCTCTGACCCCAAATATTCTTATACAAATATTTTAATACTAATAGATATTAGATTCAGATGGGACGTGGTGGCTCATACCTGTAATACTAGCACTGTGGGAGACCACAGGGCAGAAAGATCACTTTGGAATTTGAGACCAGCCTAGGCAACCTAGGAGACCCCATCTTTACAAAAACAGAGAGAGAGGGAAAAGAAAAACAAAGCAAAACCTCAGCCAGGTGTGGTGCCGCATGCCTGTAGTCCCAGCTACATGAGAGGCCAAGACGGGAGAATCTTTTGAGTCCAGGAGCTTGAGGTTACAGTGAGCTATGATCACTCAACTACATTTCAGCCTGGGTAACAAAGGAAGACTCTGTCTCTAAAAAAATAAATAAATAAAGATTTAAAACACAGTACATGTTAGATTTTGCTGTGTAACCAATGTTTGCCAGTGGTGTTGATTGTGCTGCTCTAATAATATACTTGGCCTTTGTATTCTGGCAAAGTAGTGTTTCAAAGGCATTGCTACAGGAGAAAGTATTATTGTTTATGCACTAGAAAAATCTTAACATCTTGTCTTGCTACAGTCTACTTGCCAGCAGCATGCATTTGTTTTATAAACTTCTGAATTATAAATCATACTGTTCTGTAATAAAAATTGGAAATATTAATGATAATAATTATCATAGCAAACATTTGTTGAATATTTACCATGTGTCAGGCACCAATTGCTTCACTTTTACTTAGTTAATACTTTACTAATTCCTTTGTATTTTTAAAGTTATTTATCATAATTATTATTTATTTAATAATTGATTATTTGTGATACTTTATTGAATTCTCGTAACATTTTCTTAAAGTATGTGATATTATTTTACCTATTTTATAAATGAAGAGACTCAAAAAGTAAAGTAACTTTCTCAGACCCATAGAACCACAAATTTTTCTGGTGACGTTTCTGAATGTTCCAGAGAAGGAAACATTAGATTATTTTAGCTCTAGTGTGTGTATCTGCAGCTGAATTCTTTCCTGCATAATACCAGCGTCCAGTAAACTGTAAGGCCAAGGGTGCAGATGGTAGATTCATTTAGAGCAAAATCCCTTAATAGACACTCCAGCACTGGGAAATCTTCTACCGTTAAACACTGGTTCAGACTACAAACTAGGATTCCTGCTTGTAATTACATTGATGGGTACTTCTGTCTTTTTAACAATAGATTCTGTCCTCTGCTGTTTCTCTGTCTTATCCCACCACCCCTTTGTGTGTGTGTAAGTGTGGGTGGCTGCTATGGCAACTCTGAATATAACTCCTGCTGCACATGTCAGCCTTATAGGCAGGTTTTGCTGTTGTATTTGAACTTACATACAAATATCTGTTTTCCCACTTTCACTAGAGGCACCTTGGGAAAACTTGATCGTAGGAATGTTGGGGTGTTTCAAACTAATGCAGTCTCATGAAATGCTTGCCAGAATATTGATGGGTAGTAAATAGTAGAAAACAGCCATATATTCAGTATCCTCTGTGGAAACGGCCTTATGGCTGTATTTAGTTCAAGGCATATTTATTTAATTTGGTGTTGGTGCTATAAACATACATAAATGCATAAATAAAAATCAATGAGCCCTGTTATGGAGTATGTAAATAATAACTGAGAAATATGTTTCTGATGCCTCTTTATGTGGATTCGGAAATAAAACTAAGGAATTTGAACTCTCCCTTAACATCTGACTTTAATTAAGGTTTTGGGGCTAAGTTGATCATGGAGGTTTATTTTGCTTTACTGAGAACTTTCAGGAATAGTAATAATAATAATAAGCTCTATTCCTATTTTTGTAAGTACTGTTGGTTCTCCAGGAAAAAAAAAATTGTGAGAGTTATTTAACCCTCAGTCATCAAATTTACAATTCAGTGTTCAGTGACATTAAAATGTTTAAATTTACCTTTGTGGTACTTCTTTTCATATAAATGGTTACAGCTTTTTTTTTTCAATTAAAAGAAAATGAACATCAAGGTTGAGAATGAAAAATTATGTTTGGTGAATTTCCAGTTAACCTCATAAATTTTTGAAATAGGCAGACATGAAATGACCTCCTTGGGTCACTTCCAATTCTGACCTTAGATTTTTGAAAATGTCAAGAAAAAAGGGTCAGTTATATGTATTGGCCTCTGTTTCTGCTATGTGTTGCTGCATTATAAACCCCCCTAGACCTTAAAACAACAACAATCTGTTATTGTCAGGGTATGTAGGGTTGACTTGCGGTTTTCCTGCTAGTCAATCCTTGCTTCTTTCATGGGACACATTCAGCTAATTCAGAGATCTGGGGTTTGGGCTCAGCCAAGACAGCACAAATAGCTGGGCCTCTCTCCTTCTCAAGAGGTCTTTCTCACAAGGGTCATCTTCCCTGATGGCATCTCAGAGCTGCCTTCCAATATGGTAATGTCCCAAGCTGCAGGGTACCTTGAGACTTAGGTTCCTAAGCTTGTTACACATCTCTGTCACTGTATTTTATTGTCCAGATAAATCACAGGGCCAGCCCAGATTGTTGAGAGTAGAGAAATAGATTCCACCTAGAGATGGGAGGTGCAGCAAAGTCATATTGTAATGAGGAGGATATACTGGGATGGGAAGAATTTGTGGCATTAAACAATTTATCCCAGTCTTTTCCCAGAATACTGGTGGAAACTCTAAAATATCATTCCCTCTCTCCCCCTCCCCATTGGTGGCCAGTCGTTGGCATTATCCCACTCTCACGTCCCACACAGTCATCTTTTATAATAAGCTCACAAAGTCCCATGCACCAACAACCACTGCTCACAGGCTGCTGAGACAAGGGTTAAATAAACACAACCCACTAGTGTCTATTTGCCCCCCTCTTCTTTTGAGACTTATTACCTAATTCTGTACAAGAACATGAGCAAGCCCTCACTCGGAGGTATAAGAATTCAAGGAGTGCATGTCAGTTTACTTGTAGCAGGTGATTTCATGAGACTGGTCAGTGATTGTGTTTGGA